AGCAAGGTTTGCAGCATCCAGATGGGGCCAGCTGGCCATCTCAAGAGTCTTGGTAGGGAGTTGGGAAGTGTGTTCACTCACAATGTAAGTTTGCGCAAGTATAGCCAGCTCAGAATATCTTGATTGGAATTTTAGGAGACAGACTCGTTTGTGATTCTACCAGAAAAGTTTTCAATACCCTTCAGAGGGATACTTGATGATTGTTTCGATACTTTCCATGATTTGAAGAATCTTTCTGAGATGAGAGATAGCTCAGAACCAGGATCAAACAATACTCGTGCTTCTTCAGGCTTTCTTTGAGATAATTCATTCTCAGTGGGTTTAGCAATGAAGCAGTACGTCAACTCACTGGTAGACAACTCTCTCTTGATGTTGTCTGCCTCAAGCAGATGGTTCTTGACTGTAGATAATGGAGACTCAGATTCTTTAGAAGAAGATTCACACTCGGTAGACTCGGAAGAAAAAGAAGAAAAAGAATCAGTGCTGTTAGCTCTAGACAATGCAGACTCAGGAATCTCAGCGATCAGCAGATTGCCTTCACTATTAGATAATTCAATCTCTCGTGTAGAACATGATCTCGCTATTCTGATGTAAAAGTAGATGGTTCACTCGTAGTAGTTGCTTGGGAGGCCTTCCTTCGCTCTCTCACCTTTGCTCAATCCTCGAAGTAGATTTTGGTGTGGTGCATCGCCCCACACGTCTGACACCTTTTCTCACTTATGTAATTTTGGGCTCTATGTCGTCCAAGGTAATTGAAGCAGAGGCGTCGCTCCTTCTCAGTCCTGGTGTACCTGACGGTGAAGTTACCGTGTAACTTACCGCCGGCTTCTTTCTCGAGGCTGAGGAAGATAAAAGCTCCTTTGCTGGTGCGTTCTTAAATATTTTTGCAAGGGCTGCACTAGTTGACACTTTACTTGAAGATGGTTGTCTCGTAGATGGTTTGCTCTGTTGGGTCTTACTCGAAGTTACCTTGCTCGTAGTTTACGTGCTCTAGTAAATGGTGCTTCCTCCTGTAAAGGCTCAGAACTCTCCCAGACGATAGCAGTAACCTCTAGGAACTTGAATAATTTATCGTAGGAGGGGAACTCTTTTGAGAGGCTTAACTTTGTCCCCCATTTTGTTACTGTTTGCCAACTTAATTTGGTGAGAGTAGCTGTGACCCAAAGAACGTTCGAGTAGCTAACAGGTGATTCCAGCGCCTTGAATGCGTCAAGAGCAGAGCTCTTGACGCAAGAGTCTAGTACTGCATGCTATTAACTCCTTCAACTCAGTTACTGATCCCTCAGTGACTCGTGGTCCAATTAACAGTTTGTCAGAGTGCTTTTTCATCAGGAACGTAGGATTATCGAACCTTCAAACTAAAAGATCCCAGGCTGGCTGAAAAGTCCCGCTAGTAGGTGCAAGACCCGCTAGTAGATCTTCGGCTTCTCCTGTGAGTTGAGTCTTAAAGTAGTACATCTTAATAGCTAAATCCAAGCTTGGATCGTTACCAACCACTGCTAAAAAGAGATCTCTGAAAGTCACTCACTCTAAAGGGTCTCCTAAAAAAGTTGGAAGCTTGATCTCGGGGAGTTTGTGGCTCTAGCTGAAGTTACTTGCACCAACTGCTGAAAAACTGAACAACGCCTGGCCACTAGGAGTCCTAGCTGCAAGTGAAGCTTCTTTTTCTTCTAGTAATAGTGCTCTTGCATCTTCATAAAACAACTGTAGATGCTGGTAACCTATTCTGAATCGCATTAAGTCTCAAGGATGTTACTCTTACCGTCGTACAAAGAGTTGTGTAGAAAGTACACTCCCTCCCATATTCTATAGATCAATTCTAGCTGACTACTCTCTTATGGTGGACTTATAGATGCCGATTTTTCAGGGATTAGCTGGCGATTGAGTTGCTCAAAATAGTGTAGTCTCTGTAGCTGTAGTTGAATTTTACGCTTCAGTTTGGCCGCTATCTTGGAAGTATTTTATTCTAGATGGTGTACTCACTATTTCTGCTCACGACTATGACAACTTACAGCCACGCAAAAAGTCTTGTGAACTGGTGTTCACTTGGCACCTGAGCAGCACAACGTCTTTTTGGGGCTCAGCAATGCTTAGGTTCGTCACCCGACACAGATAATGTACTCTCAGTAACTTAACTCACTTAATAAAACCCAAAAAATCACTTAAATCAGTTTAATTCTCAGAAATTTTCTCAAACCACACTTACATCCCGCTCGAAAGACCATGCAATGTAGCGTAAAGCCCAGAAAAGTTTTTACACCAAAGAAAATTAACTCGAGCACCGGAATGTGAGGAGGGATCACAAAACAAAAAACGTATAACTCATCAATTTTAAAGTAAATGAACTAATTTATTTATGGTTTATTGCACGAGTCAATAGTTTGTTCAGAAAATCACACTCGCTTTAATTTAGATAATTCACTCTCAAGATGTCTGCGTCTCTCACACGTGCATTTTGGCGTCACTTCGCAAATTCACGCTTAACTTGAAAAAATTGCACTTCTAGCTGGAACAGATTGTTAAACTATATCCTTTATAAATTTCTGAAATAGTATTGCACTAATGCGAAGCTAATTAATACTTGAAAACTTTTGTTTTTTCAAGTATATGCTCTCAGAAAAAGGAAGCGTACTCTCTCCTCGAGATATGAAATGCAACTGGTAAAAGTCCAAAAAGAAAGGTTGGACTATCACCCCCAAATTTTTATTGGTCACTCACTCCTCTGTGATTGGCTTAGAAATTCTCTAGGTGCTGACGTCTCGATTGATGATTGGCTCGTTGAGTTACTAGATAGTAACTCGAATTTTAATTAGTGGAGAAGAAAATTGAAGGATAGATGCGGGGCTCTCAGAATAAAACTGACTCGGGGGCTTCACCTAACCTGAGAGGTTAGAAAATTTATCAGTCGGTTGACTGAACACATGTATTTCCTTTCATATAACTTTATTTCTAGAACAGTAGCTTGTACATTACCCTATGAGCCCATAATTTATAACTAACTATAAAGTTTTCCTGATGAGCCACACCTCACTCAGCGTTTGTGGCGGTAAGCTCACCCATACACACTTAACCCCTCTACTACAGAATATTGAGACTGTCACTTCAATACTCTTCCTCAATCTCATCATTCGAAACATTTGCAACACTCAGTAGTTTTACAAGATGAACAAATCGCTCCCTATATAATGGTTTTGTTAATATGTCCGCAAATTGTTTTTCAGTACGCATATAGTTAACTTCTATCACTTTGTCCTCTACCAACTGTTTTTCAAACTGGAATTTAACATCTACGTGTTTTAACAGTTTCTGATCTGGATTTTTAACTGAACAAATAGTGCTCTGATTATCTTCGAAAATAGTTATCGTCATAATACTCATAATACTGTATTATTATATACTTTAAACAATTATCCCATAGTTAATTTATCGATATCTCTTGCCCAGTCTGCATCAGCGTATCCTACTAAAGGCACACATTGACTCTGACTTACATACACTAAAGCAAAATTTAGGGTACGTTCCTAAATGTTCCGATTAAAACAAAACAATATTTGATGGGATTTAATGGGTCAATAATCGAATGTTACTTCTGAAATTCAATCTGAATAAATCGGAAGTTCCCGATTAAAATGTATAAGTTTCAACAGGAATCAATTGGAAAATAATATGTAATCCATTTACGAAATTGATTCAGTAGAATTCAATCGAAAATTTTCAATTAAAGGAAAATGATTTTATTGAGATTCAATAGGTAAATAATCGAATCTAATTTCTGAAATTTAATTGGAATAAATCAGAAATTTCTGATTCAAAACGAATATTTTCAATAAGAAAATAAAATGCTTTCATATCTCTTCATGATTTCAATGGGATTTTATTGAAAATTTTCAATTAAATATAAACAGATTGTATAAGATTTAATGGGTAAATAATTAAATATTTTTTTTTAAATTCAATCGAAATGTATTTGAAATTTCCGATTAAAAATTGATGTTTTTAATGGGAATCATTTGAAAAGTACAAATTATATAATTTAAACACGTTTCCGAATTTTTTATTACATTATTTATATACAATTGTTATGGAGATTCGAATATTACATTAGTATTGAAATTATTGTATTTCGAACGTGTTTGGCATAATACAAATATAAGAATGTCCATTTTGACTGATGAAGTTCCTGTCGCCATTCTTTTTGTGTTCCTATTCACGTATACACGCATTTCTATTCTTTTCTCAGAAATCTATCTTTTTCGAGTCAATCTTTAGTTTTAGTACAATTCTCAATTAACAGAAACATTAACCAGTTCATTTTATATTCAAATAAAAGAGTATTCACAAAACAACTTACAGTGAAACTAAGTGATAAACTTAACATTCATTCGCATTGCATTGTTAGGCCAACGCCACATGCACAATCATTATTCTACTAAACTTGAGAAGCGTGTTGCGCTCGTGGACTAGGTCAATAATACCGAACACACCAAGTTTAGTTACCTTTCTTGAACATTCAATTATTATTCAGTCAATATTTACTTAAAATTTTGTGCTTACAATTGACATTCATTAATTTCTAGGGACATTTATTTTCCAGACAGCATTGAGAGTTCGTCGCGAGCTCCTAATAAGCTCTTTTTTCTGAGTTGCAACTCAGAAACAGCTGGCTCGTAAGCTCCCTACGAGCTCAGAAAGAACTCTTATACGCCAATTGGGGAGGAGAATTGAAGTTCGGAAAAAAGAGCTCCTCAGGAGCTCATTTTTATAAGTTATTAAAGAACTCGCTTTAACGACAATAGTAACCTAAAAATTACGTGGGATAGGGTTTAATTTTTTTAAAAATCGTTTTTTTTAAGCCAAATGAAGATACATGAATGATTAATTTATTTATCTTTATTTTGGACATGTATGATACAATATATTGAGAATTTTATAATTGGAAATCTGTTATTCAAAATAACAGATTCCATGTAAAAAAACAAAAAAAAAATTAGATATAAAATTTAGTCTCCTGCGTTAGCTTTTTTTAGACGATCCCGGGCATGTTGAAGCCATGATTGTACTATTGTTTGAATCTCGTATGCTGTACAATCTCCATACTTCTCTCGCAAGCTCTCTGAAAAATTTCGATAATATGAAGATATGATTTTGTTACAATAATAAAGATATAGTTTTTAGCAATAAAAAAGTGTATTAGTATGGATCATACATTTTAGAAGAAAAATAATTGCACTGTATATAATTTCTAATTTATTTACCTGTTATTATTTCAATGAATTTCATTTTCCCGACGCCGATTGTTCTTTTTTGTCCTGTCCATGATAACTCGACACAAAATACGTCGGTTGAATGAAGACTTAAAACTTGACGTATACTTTTATGAATATCTTTACCTCCAATAATTGAATTTCTGCTTTCTAGAACACGAATAAAACTTTTGCAAATTCATTTTATGATTAATTTAAATAATAACCAAAAAATTAAAATTAATTACATATTGAAGGCATGCTCTTTCATCTTTTTCTAAGAGATCATTAAACTGATCTAACTCAGATTTGTTTTTAGTGGAAATTGAGGTAAGAGATTTGTATCTTTACGAGATATATTAGTGTGAGATTGTGTGAAATACAATAAGTTTGTGCAGAAGTGAACAGAATCTTACACCCACGTGTAAAGTTGTATACATCACTATGTATGCTCAGAAAAAGTATTTTGAAGTATGCAATAGAATATTTACACTGAACGAATCAAGCAACATACACTAGCTTGTACTTACGACAACAGTTTGTGTGATGCTCATCATGGTGCTGATTATCAGTAGAAATACTTGCGTTATTTTTAGTACCCAAAAAGTCACTTATTTATTGTGTTGATGATTATGTCTTCTCTTGAAAATACAGGTAAGCGTATGTCTGAAAAATGGATTGCATTAGCAACTCTTATGTTGTATTTTTCTTGCATATTAATGCCATCAATAATTATTTATGAAACATTTTGAGCTTCACATATTTATCACGCCACATAACTAAATTTCAAATTCCACAACTTACTAGTTTTAACGTTTCTTCGGACTACTGGCTTAACTGCTGACTGCTTAATGTTGTTGTTAATAATAGATTCTGAAGATGCAGCTCTTCCAATTTCTTCATCAAAAAAATCTCCATAATTGAGCGGATTACTGTCCTCACGTTGCAATTCGTTGTCTGATTGAATATTAAAATCAGATAATGGAGAATTTGGTTTCTGAAGGTCATCGTGAAGATTATTATCTATGCATACATAAGAGCCATTAGAACAACAGTTCACAACGAGATTACATTATACTTATTAATCATATGATACCTTTTAATCTTTTTGTACTGTATTCTTCATCAGAAGATGAAGAAATCCGGGATCGAACCTTTCTTTTACGTGTGTTTTTCGCGGAATAATATTCCTTTTTATTTGTAATATCTAATAGTCTTTGTTCATTATTCACTAACGACCTAGACACATCATTTTCAACTTTATTATTCACTTTTGTTTCATCTGTATATACTTTCGGATTGCTCTTTATTTTTTTAATGACTGAAATAGAAATAATGGTTATTCATTATTTACATATGTTAATATGGTTCTCCTTAAATAATGGAAATTATTCAGAAACTATAAAATACCTTTTGGTTTATTTGTATAATGTTCCTCTTCAGAAGTTGACTGTAGACGAGATGGTATTCTTATCACCCGTTTAGCAGGAAGATTTTCGTTTGATTTAGTGATGTTATCGATTCCTTGTTCATCATTTGTTAATAGGTTAAGCGTATCTTTTTCAGCTTTTCTAGCCAAATCATAAGTTCCTGAAGTAGAATGTGTTCTCATGAGTATTGAGATATTTACAACAAAAATAAGACTGATATCGTTAACGTTCGCTTTACGAAGGTCCTATAATTTTTTTGTAATTTTTAACTTCCCACTCGTCCTCAGGAACAGTTTTTTCTTACATTCCGCACTCACATTTTTAGGAGGCCATGCTAAAGTTTTTGCTTCTATATCCAACCAATTGAATGGCACAGTTGATACCCAATCGTCACAAAATACAACGAAGTACATCTGTAATTAAAAATAAAGAATAAATCAAAAATTCTTATACAGTTTTTTAAGCACATGAATTTGAGGTTATTTATGAACATCGCACAAGATGACATGACAAGCCGACATGCAATAAAATTATAAATTGAATATTCGATATGTAAATAAAACATCCATTCGAATTCTCTCATTACTTAATGATATTTATTGTTTACAAAACTCACCTTGATTAACGAATTTTCGATGTTTTTTGATAACCTTCCTACACTCGACACACCGAAAGTCGAATTTGAAATTGTTTTCACGTTTTTAATTATACATTTGTGGGCAGTAATCATTCAAATGATTACTTAAACAATCGACAATCAAGCAATAATTCAATATTAATTATAAAAAACGAAATCATTGAAATTTTTTAGTGGGTGAATGTAACGTTCCAACTGATAAAGCAACGCTGCAACTGGAGTACATGTGTACGCACGCTCAATGATCGACGTGCGCATAAGATTCTCCGCCATTACAACTTGAGCAACGCGCGTAATTTGAGAAAGAAATGAGAATTTTTTGTACATAGATATAGATATATTCATGAATATTTATATAATAACAAAAATTATAAAATGACTTAATATTTTGACACTGTAGAAAAAAGTAATATTATAAATACTATATTGCAGACAGAAAAAAGTTTATGACATTCAGTTCATAAAAAATATTTTCTAGATATATAATTCAGTAGTTATTATTTAATGTCTATAGTTGGCTTAGCTTTCCATTTCTGACTGTTAATAGCTATCATTACTAGTGATAGTCTTGACAATCGATACTTGAACAATTGTACTAAGTACAGAATTCACTTAACTTGTTTGAAGATAAACTGGTTTGGGATGATAGAATAATTGACGACTCTTTACTGTAATTCTCATTTTATGATAGTTAATGAACAACAATCAAGAATTCTATGTTAAATAAATAAACCTGAAATATAATAAAAAAAGTATTAAACGATATGAAGCATATGCTTGATGTGATATCATATCATCTTTCATTAATGTATACATACTCAATGTTGAATAGCTATTCTAGGATGTCTGTGTAAGAATTACGTTTTCAGTTTTAAACACTAGAATGCAATAGTGGAAAAAAGCAAAAAGATCCTTCATACGGTAAACATACGGCTTTCTGGATGACATCTTTTACTTGAAAATCATTCAATTGAGACCATTCATTTCCCATTACAATGTGCATTTCTGTAGAATCAATTGGATAATTATTTAGCCTAACTGGATTTATTAACGTTCTTCCACGTATTATAATTCTATTGTTCATTATAAAAATATTTTTAATTCGTAAAACATTATAATTGTCTGTAACGAAACAGAATCTATCACAATCTTGAGAAGCCGAGAGAATGAATGTTTTATAGTGAACTGTATTATAGTTATGAATGAACTCCTTTTTCTTGAACGTAATTGGTTGGAAATGTCATTTATCATTCTGCTGCTAAATTTAAGCAAATTACTTTGATTAACACGCCATCCTTTTACGTAGGCCAGTAAAATTTTTTTAGTAACACCAAGGCACACAAGGTGCATGTAATCTAATGGAAATTGAGACACCATGCCAATATCAGTTTCTTCAAAAATGGAATTTCTAATGTGATGCTCGTCATCCACACGTTGTACAAAGTTTTCATCGGTACGAAGTGGAGCATTCATGTTCAAAAATACCACACGGTTATTTTCCTATGTTCCCTCCACCCTACATTTGCTACATCCATAATATCCAGTATGCCCCTCCGTACAGGTTACAAAAGATCGAGCTGGTGCATCACACAGAACAGCTCTAATTTTAACAGTAAAGTTCGATGAAACACACGAAACCTTCTCTCTGCAAATTGATATATTCATCAATAAGCTCTTCAAGAAATATGTTGCAATCATATGGTTTATTATATCCGTGATAAATACCAATAACAAATGGTTGAGCTACTTTGGGAAAAATTTCACCCGGTATTGGGTATAACTGACTGCTTTAACTTTTTGCTAATGGCAAACCATCGATGTGAATATTGACTTTGATTAGTGACGATATTTTATCACCAAAAGCCTTTATTTGATCAGTCAATCATCCCGCTCAGACCATAATGAAAATATTTTCCAGGTGCAACAGGCCGTATTATTGTTCTTCGAGGAGTATCAAGTAAAGTTCTTGAATCTTGTGGAAGTTGTTTCAGTTGCTCTAATGAATTTATACTGTGTAAAATGTCTATTAAAACTTATAAAGCGGTGTGAGAAATATTAAAATGACACATCCACTGTGCTATTGTTTCTTGTAGGTTAAAATTCGAAGAATCATTGACTCTCAACCCAGATACAGGAGAGGTGACTCTTGTAGGTTAACTTTGGAATATTTATCAGTTTAGATACAAATACTGAACAATGTGGATTGTCACAGACTTCCATTGAAGGAAGACTGAAATAATTATTCATTTGGATAGATGATGTAGAATCACTGGTACATTCCGAAGTACTTGTATCATGGATAACCTCTTCTGTGCTGTCAGTTTTAATATTATCACTTGAGCAAATATCCTGTAAAGCATTTGCTATTCTTCGATTTTTTTGGCTTTTAGATAAAAGCATAAAATTTTTTGTCGAGGCATTTCTGTTTATACTACTTTCCTAATCACAAACTTTTAGCGTAAAACGGAGCACACATGTTCATGTATGAACACTTGTTTACAATAGTTCTTTACAATGCTGACAGTGATGAATAAAGGCGAATTCTTAACAATTTATTTCGATGAGAAGGCTAAATAGGTTTTTAGAGAAACTTTATTTATAAATATATAATATCAATTTATTTAAACTTTATGCAATAATAAAAAACGTTATTCTTCAATGACTAAATAACTTTTATCGAGTATGTAATGGCATTATATTACGGTTTTTCTTACGTTAAAATAAATATATAACAAAATACAATGATGGAAAAATTTTATTGTAAGGAGAAATTATTTTAAATATTTTCGTGTTAACTTGTAAAATTTATTGTAATATGAGCTCCGGAAAAATTTTTGTTGTTTAAATCATAATAAAAAAATTTTATATATATGAACTCGCAAGAAAGAACTCTTAGTGAATTCTTTTTCAAGAGCTCTCTACGAGCTTCCGAAAAAGAGCTTCAAAAGAGCTCCTTTTTATGAGCTCTTAAATAAGAACTCGCAAAGAACTCTTTTTTAGAAGTCTTCTATGAGCTTACAAAAAAGAGCTCCTAAAGAACTCTTTTTGTGCTGGGTGTTGTCTGGGTTGTAATACTTTTGTGGGGAAAAGTCTATTATTTTATGAGGGAGACTTCCCCATAGTAAGTTTACGTTGGATGGATGACTCTATAGGTCATCAACTATCCTAACAGTTTATAAAAATTTAAGTCAATTTGTGAGAGCACGTTCGGGTGGCAATTTGACGACGAGAAGTACTAGTGACTCTGCAATCAATCGGGCGATTTGTAGAAAACAAATCAAAACTATGGGATAACGGGAAAGGTTACTCCCGATGTGGCACTATTTATATCATATATCACTTTTATTTAAACGATTCTCAAGCAACAAAATATAAATAGAAGAACTCCTTGATGCACTCTTGACTTACAAAAAATTAATACAATATAATTTTAATTACGCTAAAGACTCTGTATAATTCAAAAACTATTGTGAGTTTTACAGGAGCGATTTTAGTTATGCGAGAGACTCTATATAATACAAGGATTATTATGAGTTTTACAAACGTGGGTACAAGTTTATCAGGACTCTAGGTCCCCCTAAGGCAATATCGACTAAGCGACTATAATAATAATTAATAATGACTACAACATAGAAGAGAGAACATTGCAACTACTTCGATAGTCATACTAGCTAGTCAGTCTCACACGTATAGTAACAAGTTGCTGGACTTACATGACTTTCTTTCCCTTGTCAGGACTGCGAAGGCTGCTTTCCAGGATAATCTCGTGCGTTGTCTCAGGAGATCTCGACGACTGGATGAGTGCTTCCTGCTGACTTCGGGTATTCTTCACCAGACTTATACTTCTTCTATAACTTGGTGTAAATAACTAACTATTCGACTGGTAATAATGACTATCTGTCTGACTTGGTACATATGTACTTATTTATACGTTTATCGTACAACGTACGGAAGCCGTAATTGGCAATATCTCTTGCTGCTGCCTGGATCTGCTGTCGCTTACGGCGCCTTCCAGTTGAGAGTGGCGTCTTGAACGCCGGCTGGTTCACTCGTGGTGGGTGTGCCCCCTTCCAAGGCTCTATTTCTCCCGCCCATTCCGTGTTCAGCTTAACAAATAATGTTACTACTGATCCTGGGAAAAAAATCATATTATCATCGTCAATAGTAGTTAATATGGTACAATTCCAACAACTCTTCTATATTTGATTTCAATTCTTTCAAATATAGCCCATAACAGCCAAATAAAGTATAAAAACTTTAAATTTTAAAAATCTTCATCGATTTATATAATAAAAGTAGATATGTTACTATTATTTATCCTACATCTTACTATAAATCACTTTTCCTAATTATTATTGGTATAAATAAAACCACAGATTCAACCGAATGAGCTAGTAAATTTAAACGTAAATGCTATTGTAAGTATTGATGACATAAATTTATATTACTTATCTAAAAGTTTGAAAATGACTACATATCTGTATACTATATTTTGCAGAAAAGAAATCTTAATAACTCTGATAAGACTGAAGAAATACCAATAAA